AACAAGCTCAGCTTCAGTGCCTCTGCCCAGCTGTTTGCTACAACCCTTGTGGAAACACAGTTAGTTTGTGAGCCCTGATCTTTGTAGAATTAAGGCAAGAACGTGTTCTCTTAGCTCTCACCCTGCTTTTCTTTGTACTCCCAAAATGTTTTCCCCTGCATGTACTTGTTTGGAATGGGAGAGATGGGGAGGTGGGGGAGGGGGAATAGATCTGGGGTCCAGCTTCCAGCTGTCCTTGCCCTTGTACATGGATAGGATAGATAAGTAGCTAGTTCTTATCCTGTTGGTGATGAAAGAGGCTTCTCAACCATGTTCTCTGGGGAACGACTTCTCCAGTCATTTCTTTCCTCTTCCCTTTCTTTATCCTCCCACAGTTTTCTTGCTTTTAGTTCTGTATGGCCCATTCACTTCCTATTGTTCCCTTGGTAAGAACAAACATTCAAAAAACCCGAGCCTGAATTGATTCAATATTTGCTGGTTAGTCTAACCTGCTTAGATTTAACTGGCAAGTAAGTGAATAGACACTCATTTTTGATTCCAGAAATACAGACACATGCCTGCAGTGGCTCAGGCGAGAAGCCAGGGGGCACTAGAGCAGGCCCTTCCTTCCCTTCCGCAGTGGCACAGGGAAGCTAAGATGAGGGAGGGGGCATGGCCAGGCCCCAACAGGCCTCAGTCTGATTGGGTAGGGGTTTAAACCCCAACCTGGCCTGCAGGGACCCCAGCCAGGATGTGCCTGTAAAGTGGGGTGGGGGGAGGGAAGCAGCCCTTGCCAGGCTTTGAGGGGGAGTGGGGGCATGGCCAGACCCCAGCTGGCATTGAAGGGTCAAGCAGGGACAGCATAGCAATACCCCTTGCTTCTGGTCCCATGGCAGGGGAGGATGAGGAGGAGGAGAGCCCTGCCCACTGCAGTGGCTTCCTGACAGCCCAGCCTAGCCTGGGTGTAGGGAGCTGGGAGCACAGAGTTCCCCCTGCCGACCCCCCCCACAGCAGCTGGCTTTCCCCTCTGCTCCACAGCAGGGCCTAGCACTGTGCCCCTCCAACCCTGAGCCCTGAGGCAGCACCTCACAGAGCACCCTGCCCCCGGTCCCACAGTGGGGGGGGGAGGAGGAGGAGGGGCAGAGCCCTCACTGACAGCCCTGCCTTGCCTGGGCACAGGGAGCCAGGAGCAATCTGGGCACACAGCTCTTGCTGCCCCAGCCCAAGCCCCACCTCTGGCTGGGAAGAGCCCTGCCCCTGTAGACTGGCCTGGCCCAGCCCAGCCCTGCAGTTCACCTGCCTCTCGCTGGACTGAGCTGGGCTATCCTGTGGGTGCTGCTGAGGGCAGGTACAAAGGGGCTAGTTTGGGCCTTGGGGGCTAGGCCCTTCCCAATTGTCTGTGGCTTGGGCTGGGGTCGCGGGAGCTCTATGCCCAGATTGCATCTGGGTCCCTATGCCCAGGCCAGACCAGGCTGTTATGGAGCCTCTGACAGCCTGGCCTGACTCAGCATGGCCATGGAGAGCCAGGAGTAATATGGGTGCACAGCTCCGCTGACCCCAGCCCGAGCCACAGCCAGCTGGCAAGGGCCCAGCCCCTTCATGCCTGCCCTCAGCAGCACCCACGCCCTCACCCCTGCAGTGATAGGGGTGGGGGTGTGGTTAGATGCAGGCTTAGCATGGTTCCCCTAAGGTGAAGGGGGGGAGGGAGGAGGCTTATTTCTTCCTCCCTCTCTTCTTTCCCCAGGGGACCCGAGCCGACCCGAGCCCCCTTTCAGGGGGTGCTCAGCCTTCGTGGGGGCGAATGGCAGAGACAGTAGCCAGGACTGGCAGACCCTGGCTGTGGTCCCTCAGTGGAAGAGGGGAAAGAGAGGGGAATAAGCCTCCTCCCTTCCCCCTTCACCATGCCCTTCACCCTTGTTCTGGCAACAGAACAGATGGGTGGGACCAGCACTGCTCCCTGGAGCAGAGAACACAGCCCAGTCCAGGGCTGCAGTGCATGCTGGGATGCTGAAGGACTCTGATTTAACTTAAACCAGGAAGGGGTCTGGGATAGAAGTTCCATAAACCTGTTTGACCTCAATCAGTTGAGTCTGATACTGAATTCAACTAGGTTTATTTAAACCAGTTTCAGCCATTTTGAAACTGGTTTATATGCACTGTACTTATGTTCTGTTACAGGTTTTAAACCAGTTTCTGATCACTTAAACTGGTTTAGCTGTAACTTCTGTCCCTAGCCATTAGGGACAGAACTAGAAGCGCACCGATAGAGATTTTGGGGGCTGATGCCAATAGCTGATTTTTAAGGAGGCATATCAGCTGTTGCCAATTCAATTTCTGATACAGCTGTGTTCAGCTGGTAAATCCATTGTGGTGGAAGGGGACGGGGGAGGGAAAGAACATGGTGGGGCCAGATCAATGCCCCCCGTGGGAAGGAGTGGGGCAGGGGCTGGGGCAGATGCTGCCCAGCCAGATGGGGTGGGGCACAGGACAGAGCCGTGGCTCATCTGGGAGGGGGAGGAGGTGGCTCCTGCAGCTGTGCACACCCTAGGAGGGCATGGAGGGTGGGGCATGTGTCCACAGATCTGCATGGGTTGGGGTAGGTGGGCTGCATCTGTGGGTTGAAGCTGGGGCTGTGCCAGGTTCTTCTCATCAGGGGCTGGGCTCAGGGTGGGTGGCAGTGGTGTTAGGAAGGGGCTTTGGGTGGGGGGCAGCAGCCACCACAAATTTCTCCATAGCCTCGGGGAGGGGAGGTGGGGGGGGGGGCGGGGGGACTATGGTGAAATTTGGAGTGGCTGTAGCCCCCCCATAGCCCTCTTACAGTGCTGCATGTCCCAAGCCCAGCCCTCAATGAGAAGACCCCAATGCAGCTCCAGCCCACCCACCCCGCCCCACGCAGATCCGGGGGGCACATACCCCCCCTTGCCCTCCCACGGTGCCCACAGCTGTGAGAGCCAGCTCCTGGGCAAGCTGTGGGTCTGTTCCATGCCCCATCCTGCCTGGCTAGGCAGTCACTTCCTTTGTCACCGCAGGGGGCACTGATCTTTCCCCATGCCCCTTCCCTCCCCCCTCCGCTTCCTTCACAATGGACTTACCAGCTGTGCATGGCTCTCCACCCCCCCTTGCCCTCCCACGGTGCCCACAGCTGTGAGAGCCAGCTCCTGGGCAAGCTGTGGGTCTGTTCCATGCCCCATCCTGCCTGGCTAGGCAGTCACTTCCTTTGTCACCGCAGGGGGCACTGATCTTTCCCCATGCCCCTTCCCTCCCCCCTCCGCTTCCTTCACAATGGACTTACCAGCTGTGCATGGCTCTCCATGCTGCCAGGCTGTGCTTTTCACTGCCTGCGTGCATGCACGCACAGGCATTTATTGAACAAATTATTGGCCGCATGGGGCCGATTTCTGATACAGCCAATTTTCTTTATATCATTGCCAATCCGATATCTCATAGATTTCATAGACATTAGGGCTGGAAGGGACCTCGGAAGATCATCGAGTCCAGCCTCCTGCCCAAAGGGCAGGAAGTCAGCTGGGGTCATAGGATCCCAGCAAGATAAGCATCCAGTTTGCTCTTGAAGGTGTTCAATGTAGGCGCTTGAACCACCTCTGGTGGCAGGCTGTTCCAGACCTTGGGGGCTCGGACAGTAAAGAAATTCTTCCTTATGTCCCGCCTGAAACGGTCTTGTCGTAGTTTATGACCATTCGACCTAGTCGTCATCCCTTGGGGCGCTGTGGTGAACAAACGTTCCCCCAGATACTGGTGGTTACCCCTGATAAACTTATAGGTGGCCATCAGATCACCCCTGAGCCTGCGCTTTTCCAGGATCCTGTATTGGTGTGCACCTCTAGACAGAACTTCTGTCTCCTCAGCACATACTGCAGCTCCAAGGCTGAGGATTAACTGAATCAGTGAACATAGTGGCAGTCTCTTTTTGGCCTCCATCCTTTCTCCATAGAACATCATCTTTTCAGCATTATAGCAGAAACCTTCCAACTGCAGTACTCAGGAAAACAGCTGTCACTAAAACTGCCTAGAAAATCCCAGAATAGGGTGCAGCTAAGATGGTTTTATTTGAGCTCTGCCATAAAGCTAACTGCAGCTTAATCCTAAATAGGAAATTTTACTGCTATGTTGATGTTAGTATTTATGTATATTTGACAGCTATAAAACCAATATAGTTCTGTAAACTTTCCATTAAGCTGACCATTAATTTTGCAAATGGGCATATGTTCCTGCTCTCTCATATCCAGTATTAGCAACATATGTGGGTTGGGGTCTCCAGAGGACCTCTGGATTTAGTTACCCAAACCCCAAGGAAGTCAGTGGGAGGAGAGTGCGTAACACATTTCTCTATGCGATTCCCAACAATTGCATTTGGGGAAATGAAGAAATAAGGAACAGTGTATTAAAGTGGAATTGAAATATTTTGCTTGGTCTGAAGTACTTTTTAAGGCAAATTGGCATATGTCACTCTACTGGTGATTGGTGCCTTTGGCAGTTTCTGTTAAAAACATGAGCTTTTACAAGTGCAATCCAGATTTCCTATGTAAAAAACCATGACCGTCAGTTGTTGGCACTTTAATCCTGTATAATTTATGACTTGGGCAGCTGTCAAGATCTAAGACAAAACTTTGTAAAAAGTATAAACTCTTAGACATGCTTTTCTGTCTGAAGATACGCACCTTGACATTGACATCCGTAGCTGTTAAGTTTAACAGCTACAGTATCAGTCATTCTGTAGATTTATATATATTTTTTTTTCACAAAAAAGACCATGTTTAAAGGGTAATAAAATGGAGAGGGATAATGCATTAAAGCTTGTAGATCAGTGATCCAATCTCAAAGTAATAATGGTTACTTTTTAATTTAAACTTTAGGTACAAAAATTGTTTAAATGAATGGTTTTGCTGTTTATTTATATTGTGTTTTACAATGATTTTCCATAGTTTTTTGTTTTAAATCTACCCAAAAAGAACTATATTTGACATGAGCTTGCTTTGAAAATGTGTAATCTCTCTTCCTAGGGTTTTCTTGGTACGGGATAGTCAAAGTAATCCCAAAGCATTTGTATTGTCATTGAGCCATGGATTAAAAATAAAGCACTTTCAAATCGTACCCGTAAGTAACACTTCTTAATTATATATATATAATTGAAAAGACATAATACTAATAAAAAGACATCATCTTAATTGGGTATGTACTTGAAAAAAATTAAGATAGAAGACTTTAATAAAACTGTTGAGGTTTGCTGATACATGATAAATACTGGTACTGTATGTATTATTAGATGCATTAAAAATGAATATATAGTACCAAACATTTTTGGAGCTTTCCCTTTTGGTTGTAACTTTTGGCAGATATTGTTTAGTTTCTGTTTGAGCTCTTCTAACACAAAAACAAGTCTGTTTTTCAGATGTAACAGAAGCAGCCCTTATAGCACAAAAAGAATACTGCAGTACTCTAACAGTACACACACAACTTTTTTTTTGTTTTCCTTTTTGTTTGATGGAACTCCTTTGGTTGGAAACTTGTGGCACATATGTTGACATTTCCTCCATTCATGATGCTTTCACACAGGGCCCAATAGTTTTCTTTCTGGACCCCGTTTCCTGCTTTCTGTTGTTGTTCTTCCATATACCGGGGCCAGTACATTGCATAGGCATGCTCAGTTTTCATGTGTGAGGATACACATTTTTTGGTAAAATTGATGTATATTTTTTTTAGTCCAGTTACCTGTGTTTAGCTTTGAATTGCCAAATTAATTTACTGGAGTATGGTCACATTTCTATTGACTTTTCATTGAAAATGGTTTCATAAGCTTAAGCATTAGATGGCTATATGGCATCCCATTCATTATATACTGACTGTGGAGGCAATTTAAAAAATACCTGTATTTTATTTCCTTCTGGCTTCTGCTCTCAGATGCTGGCATTGTCTGATTTAACCCTGGCTATCTGCCTTTGCTCCTTCCCCTTCTCTCTCCACTAGAGAGTCTCCTCTGCAGTCTGCTTTCTATCCAAGTCTTCTCAGTTATGATTAGCCTCCTCCAGTGGCTGTTTTCAAGTTATTCTTCAAATTCTAGATAGAATTGAGGGACTGGGGGATTTCTCTAGATGCTGTCCTTCCTTACTTGCTGACCAGTCAGAGGTTTCAGTGGTTCTAGGGAGAAACTTCAAAGGGCCATCATTTTCTACATCTGTGTTCTTGAAGTCAGTGTCACAGAAGCCTCCACTTCCTCTGTAGAATAGAGCTGAAACAGTTTAGTAGATTTCAGTAAACCTTGTTTAATATTTGAATAAGAGTCTATAACCCCATAATTTTTTTTTCTAAACCATCCATACCTCCTAATAGTCAGCAAGGTTGAGAGAGAAGTGCCTGCAGTTTTACATTGCCTAGATAGAGCTGTCAAAATGCTGGCCTACAGCCTGCATTTGACATTCAAGGGGTTAAATTACAGCTCATTGGACTTGTTAGTATGATTGCCAGACCTGCTGCTTTGGAAAAGCTTTGGAACCCAGAAAGCAGGGGAAAAGGAGGGCAAGTGGCAGTGGCGTTTACCCCCAGGCTTCCAGAGCTACTCCAACGTGGCAACCATGGCAGCTGCACTGACAAACTGTCACCTTGTGACCAGAGGTTGGTAGTCTGGCCTGCCAGGAGTCCTGCAGTTTGGATCCACCCCGTAGGCCCAAGTAAGTTAGACAGCCCTGGCTCAGATGCACATAGTACAAGGACCTCTCCCTCAAAGATTCCAGAGACACCCTAGCCCCAGAATCCTTTGCTCTGTCAGCATCAGAGTTCTCACTGGACTATATTATGTTTCCTGCGGTATGAATCCTAAGGATAGATCAATAGCACCTTCATTATCTCTAGTTGTTACCTGTCTGCTCCTTAGGTCATGCTAAATGGCCTTTTGACATCCATGCAAATTCCTCCAAGAACATAGACCTAGTTTCTTTAATAGTAGCTGTGGCTGGAAGATCCTGGTATCCTTTTCTAAAAATTCCCCTTCCCTCTGACCCAGATAAGGCCACCTTTTTCCTTTCAATCCAGTCACTGCTAACACTCCTCAGTAGATTGCTTTTCCAAATAAAGTACTACAAAATTACGAGTGATAGTCTTCAGTCACATAGCCGTTGAAGTCCTGCAGTAGGATCCTTGGTGGAGGAAAAGGAAATACCTGCTTTGTATCATTCACAGTCCACAGACACAGGTCATCTTGTGCTTGGGGAAGATCTGGAAGACCTCCTCATACTCATTGATATAATTTTGGAAACTGAGGAATGCTTGTCTACATCACTTTGTTCCAAACAGAGTCCCAAAAAGGAAAAGTAAGAAAAAGCAAGGCAATTTATCATATGTGAGAATCATTAGGAAAAATAGTGTAATGAGAACAGTTTAATCCAGAGAGAGAGTGAGTGCATTAGGAAAAGGAAGAGAGCCTCATTAAAATTATAACGGGCCCAATAGGACAGTGTTCTAAAATTATCATCAGTTCCAAATATTGATTTTTTTTTTTTTTTTTTCTAACACCTACACTAAAAGTGCTGTTTTTACTGGAGGATATTCATCCCAGTGGACAGTGGTGGCACTGAAAGACTCTGTTGAAAGTTCTCTCAAACATGTGATTATTTTAATCCTGAAGGGTGCCATGGCAAATTGCCTGACTGGCTGTATGCTCCACTTCTGTCCAAAAAGAATCTGAAAAGGGTTGATAAATGGAATTTTAAAATATTTTAAATAATTGTTGAGCCAGTTTCTCCATTCATTAAATGCATAGGAAGAAGGATGAAATGTTATATATTTTGGTTTACAAACAGGGATTAATAATCATAGAAAAGAGAGGACTTTTGAATATCAAGACATCATGTCCTTTCAGGCTATTTCTTTACTTCACCTCTTTCTAGGAATTAGGAACTCAAAAAATTATTTGATGCCATCAACCCAGTTCCTGCTAAATGGAGACATTTAGGCCACTGACAGGAGTAAAAAACAAAACAAAACAAGTGTTTTACGGGAAGAGGAAGTGCATTAGTTTGACCTGGCTCCCCAGCATCTGTAGATTGGACACTTCAGTGGGACTTTTTGGTGCTTTTGTCTAAAGCTGGTTAAATCAGCTATTAGATAAACAGCCAAAAAGCCCTGTTGAAGCACACGATCTATACAGACGTTGGGCGAGCCAGGTCAAACTAATGTGATGCCTCTTCTGGGCATGTGCCATGGTTAGTGCAGGGATGTGCTGAGCTGAAAGTAAAACACTGCTTGTTTTCACATCTAAGCAGCCAGAGATTTTAATACGGATGCTTTAGTCCAACAAAGACTAGGAGAGTTTTGCCAAGCTCGAGATCAGTCAAATTTAAATCTGTTTTAAAAAGTCTACTTCTGGGAGCCTTCCCTGCATACCCAAGGAAATGTACTGAAGATGTCCTTTATTTATAGTGTTAGGTTGATGTTGTAGTTGTGATGGTCCAGGAATTACTGGTATATAACAGGCAAGGGTTTCTTAGGGTGATATTTTTTTCTGAACTAACTCCATAGTTTGGATAGAGTTAGACAAGCTTGCAAATGCAAAACATTCTTCATTAGTTCTGAGGAGAGAGAGCTTCAATATAGAGAGCAGCATTTCTCCAATTTCAACCATGTTTCAGTCTAACTGCTCCAGGATTGGAAGTTGAAATAGAATATTGTCTAAGACCATTCTTCTTTTCTTAGATGGGTATCACTATGAAAATGTTAGAGCATCTTACCATAATACAAAATATAATAAATCCTTTGTAGCAATACCAATTAATCACTGTTTTATCTATTGTTTTGTTTTTGTTTTGGGGTTTTGGGGGGTGTTTTGTTTTTTACAAGGTTAATAGCTATTTTTGTTTCCAGGTTGAGATACTGAGGTAAAAGTATAGCTATCCTCAGACATTCATCTTCTGTTGAAGGTACCATCAGTCAGAATAGCAGCCCTAATGACTTGTAAAATATGTTATGCTTTGAACAGTGTGGACAATACAAGTTCCTTATTAGCCTGCAAAAAACGTCATGGTTCTCTTCAGAAAATTGTTTGTCATTGTGCAGTTCAGTTCAAGGCAAATACAGATTTGAAACTATTAACAAAAACCATGTCAAAACTTAATTTTCAGTCAACAGATATCTCCAGTTTCAGCCCTGGGAATGCCTTCAGGCTGTTAGCAGAATAGTTGAATTATAGTTCATCTTCATACCTCTTGATCAAAAAGCAAGTATTTTCAAGTCCCACATTTCCACCCTGCTTTCCCCCTTCCACACACACACATTGACGATTCCTAAACTCTCAAAGTGTGCCTGGGACTGGTGAAAATCTGAAAATAAGAAGCTTACACCACTGTTTCTCAACTGAGGTGCTGCAAGACTGCCTCAGGAATG